CCCCCCGCGCACCACCCGCGCACCACCCTGCGCACCACTCCGAGCACACTGAAATCATCTACTTTCCACGTTTTGTTTTTTTGACTGTTAACGCTTGTAGGCCTATATCAATATATTTATATATATGCGTATGTATGTATGTATGTATGTATGTATGTATGTATGTGTGTGTGTATGTATGTATGTATGTATGTATGTATGTATGTATGTAATGAATGTCTGTAATGTAATGTAATGTAATGTAATGTAATGTAATGGTATGGTATGGTATGGTATGGTATGGTATGATATGGTATGGTATGGTATGGTATGTATGTATGTATGTATGTCTTTTATCCTAAAGTTGACGTGCTGGCTCTTTGGCAGTGGCCTAGAGCTTTGCCTCACTGGTTATCCTCTCAGCGTTCGCTCAGAAGAAGTCCACCTGGGCGTAGGTTGGGCTCTCCGTGTCGGAGCTTTCCATGTCATGAGCCTCTTGTTGGTCATCTTGTGGGCTTGTGGACTCCGCGTCTCGTTCATCGAGAGCTGTGGGAAAGTGTAGCCTTCGTGGCGCTGGCCTTGCGCTGCTTGCAGGCTCATGCTCTGTAGTCTGCCGGGGTTGCTTGTGTTCAACCTCTGGTTGACTGTTTGCGTCACTTTTCTTCTTGAAGAACTCGCTGAGAGGAGGGGGCCCTTTCAGTCCTGCTCCTTTGCAAGGCTTGGTGAGAGCTTGCGTGGTGATGATGCGTTTGTGACCATCGAGATGCCATTGAGTGCCACATTGGGCGCATCTCACTCGATCTCCTTTCTGCCAAAGGGTGTGGGTATGGCCGTCGTGCTTGTGAGCGTAGGCCTGATCCACACATTGGCTGGTGAGGAATTCTTGGAAGGCCGCTTCATTGACACGTTTGTTAATATTGACTCCACATTTATTGCACTTGAGGTAGCCTGTTGTTTTTGTGAAGGTGCGTTCGTCTGCATCCGGCTGGTGCTCCTTTTGCTTGGTCAGCAAATCTTTGATGACCTGGGCCCTGGTTGTTTTCTTTGGCAAGGGCTCAGCCTGGGTGGGTGGTGTGTTGCGGACGTCTTCAATGAGGACTTGTGGGCAATCTTCATGAAGTCTGGTTTCAAGGACGCTGGCTGTTAAACCCTGGTGCATCCTTGTTCCGCACGCCGTGCGTTGGTAGCCGCTTCGATGTGGTTCCCAACGATGATGGTTGTCACTCCAGGCCTTGCGGCATTGGTTCACCAGGTCTCTCTTGCGCTGTTTGGTTTGTTTACCTGGTGCCGCGGTGCTTTTTGGTGGATGTAATGCATAGGGTCATCATAGACTTTGGCAAGTCTTTGCACTGCATGCTGGTAGATCAGTTTATGGTCCTGATCCAGGGTGTCTTGCCAGTCCGTCTGCCTCTGGTCCTGTAGAGTCTTTGCCCGCTCCCAGGCTGTTAAAGCTGAGTCTCTTTGCCTTCGTCGGAGTTGGGGCTCGTTTCCAGGTGTCTGGTGTTCTTGTGTTTCTGCTGATGTAGAGGACCGTGACCCTTGGGAGGTAGTGTCCTCCAGGATGTCTTGGAATGGGGTTCTGCTTCTGGGTTGGTGCCAAGCTTCCCAGACTGTAGTCAATTGCACAATGACTTTGACTGGTGTGCCTTGCCAACGCAACCAATCCTGCAATCAGTGCTCGAGCTTTCGTTTGTTCGCCTGGTGGAACCCCAGCGATGGCCCCCAATCGCTTGAGCTGACCCAAGGACATTGTGTGCACACATAGGCCGAAGACCCACATTTGACTCCGCGCATCATATGAAGATGGCGTGGCATCAAGGGTAAAGGCCCAGCCAAGGTGTTGCTGTGGTGCAAGAGGCTCAAGAGCTGTCCAGCAGCCATGGCTGTTGCTGGCGTCGTTGCTCTTGTGGTTCAAGTGGGATCCACCCAGCCGTGTATAGTGGTTCCTCGTCCTGGCATGTGAGCCTGTCCATCCACTCTGGAGGCATGGGTTCATGCTTCTGGTTTCGGTGCCATCGACAGAGCCAGATGATGCGCTTGGGTGTGGCCGGTACATGGCAGAGCGGGCACTGCTTGGTTTTGGTGGCTTCTCTGTATTGGACTGCTGCCTGCGCCCACGTGTTAAGGTGATTCTTTTGCTGCGGCGGCAAGGTTTTCTTCACCTGGTGATAGGTGCGCCAGTCAAGTCCTGTGATGAGGTCCTGATGGTGTGGTCGGCTTGCAAGTCTGTTGGTCCGTTGCTGTTTTGCTTCTTGGATCAGGGCCCGCTCAATCTTCCACCATTGGTGTTGAAGGGTGGGCTCGTTTGCCAGAAGTAGCGGTGATTCCGCCGGGTCCATCTCATGAGCTCTGAAGCCTGCCATCCCCATTCTTGAAGGTACACGAAGGTGGCTGCTATGGGGCCTCGGACTGTGTACCATGGAGACTGCTTGGTTTGGAGTTGCTGGTATGTAGCTGTCCAGGCTTATTCAAGGGCTGGGATCTGCTCTGTTGGCCAGGCTTGGACCAGTTGGTGGATGGCCTTGATGTGGTGAACGATGATCTG